CCGGAAAAAATTTCGTAGAGTGATTTATATTTAGACTAAACATATTTGTGCCAAATTTCATCAATATAGCTTTATATGACAATGAATTATGAGCTTTTAAATGATTTTCGGAAGTGGGCCTTATATGGGAGCTATGACCAATAATGGACCGATCCGTAAAAATTTTGGTAGAATAATTTGTATGTACACAAAACATATTTAACTCGAATTTTATCACAATAGCTTTATTCATCAATGAAATATGTGCGTTTAGGTGATTTTAGGAAGTGGACCTTGTATGGGAGCTATGGCCAATTGTGGACCGACTGAGATCTACGTTGACAGTATGATTTCTGTTCATATTATATTTGCATGTACAAAATTTTGTTTTGATACCGATATATTTGAGGGAGTTATTAACGATAAACTAATTTCCGGGAATATATACCTTTGTATGGGGGCTATGGGAAATATTGGATCGATTCTAAAGATTTTCAACATAATTGATCACTGCCATGAAAAAATAATGTGTGACAAAATTCATCGAAATATCTTTGGTAGTTTCTGAGAAAACTTCAAAAGAATTATGAAAAAAACGTAATTTTTTTCGAGGTAGTCTGAAATTTTTACTCATAACTTTTTACGTTGTGAACCGATTTTGCTGATTTTCAATACCAAACTGCTAAGGATTATAATAAATATTTTGGGTGAATTTGGTTGATTTCCCTTGCTTAGTTTTAACGTGAGCGTGTTTTACACAGACAGACAGACAGACGGACATTGCTAAATCGACTCAGAATTTCATAAGGACCCAGAATATATATACTTTGTTGGGTCTTAGATGAATATTTCTTGGTGTTACACACGGAACGACAAACTTATATATACCCTCTATCACCACTGATGGTGGTGGAGGGTATAAAAATCGTAATTAAATTGGGATGAACATTTAGTAAATAATGTTTTAAGCGATATTAACAGAAATTTTTAAGAAAATGTCGTATTATTGTAAGGTTTTTTACAACCATTACAAAAAGGTACGAATTCTTCAGAGTTACGAAGATTTGAGAAAAATTATATTTCTGTTTTAATTAAAGGAAAACAAATTGGTATATTTTAAAGGACATAACATTTACGTTTAAAAACAAGTAAGGAAGTATAGTCGGGCGTGGCCGACCATATGATACCCTACACCAGTTATGAAAATTAAATGTGATTTATTTTTCATAATAAAGCATTTATCTTCAATATTCACTTGTTCCGATACATTTAAGCAATTTATGGATGAAAAACTAATTTTCTGAAAGAGGCTTTATATGGGGGCTAGGGGCAAATATGGACCAAGCCCGATAAAATTTTGTGACTATATTTATATTTACATAATATTTTATTGTGCTGAATTTCATTGCGATATTTGTGTTTATAAGTTAATTTGGGACATTCCAGTAATTTTCTGAAGGAGACTTTGTATGGGAGCTAGGATCAAATGGGGCCCGATCTTTATGAAATTTGGCAGTGTCATCAAGACTTCTATAAAACTTAGTTGTGCCATATTTTATCGATATATCTGTACATTTAACATAATTATGAGCTCAGAAGCCCTTTTCGGGGGGTTCTGTTCTATGGGGGCTAGGTGAAATAATGGACCGATTTTAATCATTTTCAATAGGCTTCAAATAGGGTCAAATAAAACGTGCATGCCAAATTTCATCCAATTATCTTCAAAATTGCGCTTTTGGGGTGAGGAGTATTCCGGCAGAAAGAAACGAAGATTTTTTTAAAGAGATTCCTTATTATTTTCATGGTATAAATCTTTTTAATTTTTTCAATAAGTAAAACACATAAAATTAAGAAGAAAAGCTTGTTATTTACAATGTTTTTACTCAAATTCCGTTTTTTTTTTTTTGGCAACAAAAACACAATCCACAGAGAACAACTTTTTGATTATATTAGGTTTTCTTATGAATTGCATGAAAAAAGAATTTCTTATTAATTTCATTAGTCTACCTAATAATTTTTTTCCAATAGGTACTTCTTATAGATTTCATTAGGCTACTTAATAAGCTGTTTTTTATTAGGTATTCTTACTGATTTTATTAGGTTTCTATTTGATCATGTGCAAATTATCTTATTGAATTTGTTAATAAGAATATCTTCTTGATTATACTAGCTGGCTTGTTATTTCATGAATGCATACAATTAATACAAAATCCGAATTAAAAATATTAATTTTGTTTGATCCAATATTGATAACCATAAACTGTTTTTTTGTAATATATGGAGGGTAGAGTCAATTATGGACCTATCCTTGTCGGTTTATACAATAATTATTTGTATCTAATGTAGCTGTACTCGTATCTTTAATTCAGTCATGAGGTTTAAAATATTTATCTGAAGGGAACCGAAAATGGATGTTTGATTAGTTATCCTCATCAAATTCAGTTGAAAACTTCCAGTCCTATAAAACTACCGTAATTTGGATGAACTTTTGAGCCATACATGAGCGTTAAAGTGATTCTCTGGAGTGAATCGTTAAAGGCGCCCCTATACGCCCACCCCCGTATAAGTCAATTATGGATCGATACTTCTAAAATTTAAAACGATTTTTAGTTTTTGGCTAGTACAAAACTTGTTTACGTAGATTTTCACTGCTGTAATCGCATTTTTGATTCAGTAATGAGCGTTAAAGTCATTATCTGAAGGGGACCTTATAGGGGGGGTAGGGTCAATTACAGACTGATCCTCATAAAATTTAGTGGGAGATTTTAGCTAATACGAAAATTGTTTATGTCGAAATTCATCGATGTACTATATATATATAAAGTCATTTTCTGAAGGGGACTTTACAAGTGGGATAGGGTTAATTAAGGACCGATCCTAATAAAATTGGATAAAGAACTTTTGGCTTGGACAAAACTTGTTTATGTAGAATTTTACTTCTGTACTCACATTTTTGAGTCAGTAATAAGCCTTAAAGTCATTTTCTGAAGACCTTATAGGGGGGTCAATTATGAACCGATTCTTATAAAGTTTTACGAAGAGATTTAAATTCTTATAAAACATGTTTGCGCCGAATTTCACCTCTATTGATGCTTTCCTTAGCCCGTTATGTGCGATAAAGACATTTTCTGATGGGGACTTTATATGGGCGGTAGGGTCAATTATGGGCCTATCCTTATAAAATTTTACAAAGAGATTTATGTTCCCATAAAACTTGTTTGTGCCGAACTTCACCGCTATTGATGGTTCTCCCATGGGCCATAAAGTCATTTTCTGAAGGGGGCTTTATATGGTGGGTAGGGTCAATTATGGGCCTATCTTATAAAATTTTACAAATAGATTTAGGTTCTCATAGACCATGTTTGTGCCAAATTTCACCTCAATTGATGCTTTTCTTAGCCAGTTATGGGCGATAGTCATTTTCTGAGGGGGACTTTATATGGGGGGTAGGGTCAATTATGGGCCTATCCTTATAAAATTTTACAAAGAGCTTTATGTTCCCATAAAACATGTTTTTACCGAATTTCACCGCTATTGATGCTTCTCTTAGCCTGTTATGGGCGATAAAGTCATTTTCTGAAGGGGACTTTATATGGGGGGTAGGGTCAATTATGGGCCTATCCCTACAAAATTTTACAAAGAGATTTATGTTCCCATAAAACATGTTTGTCCCGAATTTCAGCGCTATTGATGCTTCCCTTAGCAAGTTATGAGCGATATAGTCATTTTCTGAAGGGGGTCTTATATGGGGGCTAGGCGAAATCGTGGACCGATATTGCCCATTTTCAATACCAAACAAACTGCATCAACTAGAAGTATCTGTGCAAAATTTCAGCTCGCTAGCTACTTCCGTTTGGACTCTATCGTGTTTTCAACAGACAGACAGACGGGCGGACATGGCTAGAACGTCTTAGAATCTAATAAGGACCCAGAATATATATACTTTTATGGGTCTTAGACGAATATTTCAATGTGTTACAAACGGAATGACAAAAACAATATACCCCCCATCTTTTTTGATGGTGGGTATATGGTACATAAAAAAACATAAACAATAATATTTTGAATAATGGGAGATCACAAAAGCTTAACGGAAAATATAGACATTTTTCCAATTTATAAATCCTGGGAACTATGTGATGAAACGTGTGACATTCTTTTAAATTTTGGAATTACATCAACAACCATATTAAAAAAATGGAAATTGAAGACGTTGAAAATTTATTCAAGAAACTGGACAAACAATATACTGGGGAGTTGATTAAATTTAAAGCAGGCCTAAGGGAATGGAGAAGAAATATTGTTCGTGCAAAATAATGTTCATAAAAAAAATATTTTAATTTAGGCATCTTTTCAGAACCTACCGTTCATATGTGAAAAAGAAACTTTATCGGCAAATAGTCGGATATTGGATTGGTTGGAAAAAATTTCAGAGAAACTCAGTAACCTAGGATATTCTGACTGCCCACTCAGTACACAAACGTCAGGAGACAATTCTATATGTGGTACTAGCCTTACAAACCTCCTTAGAAATACCGTGAAAGGACAGCTAGTACTAACTTTTAATGAAAAATAATAATTATCTTGACTCAAAAAATCAGAAGAAATATATTGGCACAAGATCCAAATTAACATACGCAGAAATGCAGCAATGGTCTTATGCTATCTGTGATGTATTTCCTAAGGAAAAACCGGTAAGAAATCTAAACCAAATTTTATTTAATGTACATATATTTTTATTAACAGTTTTGGCTATTCTAGGAAACATACTTTTTGAAACGGAAAGACGGGAAGAAAAATCCAACAGGAAAATTATTTTCTCGTTGGACTAATGTTGAAAAAGGAAAATTCGATGACTATAGTGGCAGTACTGCGGAGGAAACTTTTAAAGATTTTGATAGCGGTATGGGTATATAAAATTTCTTAAAGTAATATAGATATGTATGTAAATCTTTAAACATCTATCTTTCTCCCTCAAAGATAAATATTTCGAGCAAAAGTGCTGGCTGTAGCACAATTGCAGTCCAAGGGATCAGGTACTTTCATTCTGGAGGGAAACAAGGAAAATTAGAATGGATGAGATAAAAAATGCCAGTTCTTTGACGAATATTTTTAAAGAATGGCCACGATACAATGATTTCTTGGGTTATGATCTTGTAAGTATTGAAATTTATTTGTTCTGATTTAACTTAACTTTTAATATCTACTTTGTTTTGAAAAGGTCGATATAGATTTTGATTTTTTGTACCCAGACAAAGTAAATAAGTTATTCCTAAAGTTGGAAACTTTTTATAAAAAGTTGGTTAAAGTCTTTGACAATGAAATTAAAGACCGTGCATCAAGAGAATTTTACCTACAATATCTACGGAATGGAAATATTAATAAAGGTAAAATATTCTTTCAAATATTGACATATGTAAAATTTCGCATTTACTAATTTTTATAATTCTATTCAGATTGTAAGTATTGTATATGTACAATACTGCTTCACGCTTTGTTACAGCCACAACGTCTTAATAAAGAACATAAGCCTTCGATAGCCGATGCTCAAACAGACTTCGTCACTTTAGTACCAACTCTTAATGATATTGAACCAAGAATACTGCAAATTGTTGAAATGTATGCAGAAAGAAAAGAAAGACTTCAGCCAAGAGTAATGGTTGTTGGACCAGATTTTTCCAAAATCTCTGATTTTTTCGTATTTTGTGATGGCCTAAAGTGGAAGTGTCCTTCTTACATGAAATGTATAGACATTATTATAAAGTTATCCTACGTTTTTAATACTGAATATTCCCCGAAAAGCAAGCAAGTATGGTCATTTTTAGAGCAGTATTTTTTTGATTTGAAGTCTGAGGATTTTTCTTCTGTTGCAAATTTTTTAAGCAAATTACAGTAATATTACATTCGTTTTTTCAAAAATGACTTCACTTGCTTGCTTTCTTTGTACAAAAAGTTATTCAACTTCAAATGATCTTATAAAACATTTAAAATCAATTCATTATTTGATAGGAAATGAAACAGAAACATTTCATGTCATTGACTTGCTCGATTTAGACGGTCCACCTATCCATTTTTACTTACTGAACAATGGACTTAAAGTAATTCGAGTAAAAAAATACTGGTAATAATATTAAATTTTTATTTTTATATTAAATTACTTTCTAAGTAAATATATTTTATTATATTTTTAAAATATACTGTTAATAATACTTAATTTTTATTTCTAAGTAAACATATGAATAAGTAAATATATGAATAAAAATTCAATTATAATATCAAACAAGATCAAGAAGTATTATATAAATAAACAAAGAGATAGCCTTACAGAATCAAGAAGAAAATCTTTTTGAAAAAAAAACAATAAGAAAGCCTAGTAAAAATCGTAAGTTTTCTTCTTGATTTTTTAAAAAAGGTTTTCTTATAAAAATAATAAGAATTTCTTCTTGAAAAAAACCATAGAGAAATCTTATAAATGTTGTTCTATTTTACTATGTATTCTAGTTTATAGTATTAGGTACTGTTTTCTCTGTGCGATTGGTATACTTTAAGATGGGTCTAGGACGAATATTTTTGTATGTTACAAACATCAGCACAAATCCAATATACCCTCCCCATTAAAGTGGTGTAGGGTATAAACATAAATACCTGAGTCTGTTTAAAATAGCATTTAGAGCATATCACATTGTCATGTCCTAAACGAAATATTTTTGTATGTTACAAACATCAGCACAAATCCAATATACCCTCCCCACTAAAGTGGTGTAGGGTATAAACATAAACTTAAATACCTGAGTCTGTTTAAAATAGCATTCAGAGCATATCACATTGTCATGTCCTAAACGAAATATTTTTGTAAAATTTTGTATAAGAATTGTAGTTCTAAGTGCTGATAGGATGGACCAGTCGTGAAAATATCGCTCATCTCTAATATATATATATGAAAATATACCATGTTCATTGGTCACATGAATATGACCAATTATAGACTGATCGTAAAAATTATTTAACTAACATTTCTGTACATAAAAGCTATTTAAGTAATTTTCGGAAGGGACCGATCGTGAAAAAATCTTGAAATAGAATTTTTGTGTACAAAACTAATATTTGTGCCAAATTTTGTATCAATAGCTTTATTTGGTAATGAGTAATGTGCGTTTAAGAGATTTTCGTAAACGGACGTTGTATAAGAGCTATGCCCAATTATGTATGTAAAGAAAAAATTTCAAAATTCTGTATCTATATCATTATTTGGTAGTGAATATTGTGCATTTAAGTGATTTTCTGGAGGGGACCTAGTATGTGAGCTATGACCAGATATGAACCGATCGTAAAACATTTTTATAGTGTAATTTATGTATATAAGAGCAATATTTTTGCTAAATGTATGGATATAAATATTTGGTAATGAGTTATGCCCGTTTAAGTGATTTTCGGGAGGGAACCCTGTATGGGAGCTATGATCTAGGATGGACCGATCGTGAAAAAATTTTGAAATAACATTTCTGTGTACAAAAATGCCAAATATTCTATGGATATCACTATTTGGTAATGAGTTATATGCCTTTAAGTGTTTTTCTGAAAGGGATCTTGAATGGGAGCTATGATCAATTATAGACCGATAGGAAAACAATTTCACAGTAATTTGTATATGAGCAATACTTGTGCCGAATTTTATATGGATATCTTTATTTAGTAATGAGTTATGTGCGCTTAAGTGATTTTCGGGAGGGGACCTTGTATGGGAGCTATGTCCAATTATGAACCGATCGGAAAAAAATTCACAGAAATATTTTTGTGCATATGAGCAATACTTGTACCAAATTTTATATGGATATCTTAATTTAGTATTGAGTTATGCGCGCTTAAGTGATTTTCGGTAGGGGACCTTGTATGGGAGCCATGACCAATTATGGACCGATCGGAAAAAAATTTCATGATAATATTTCTGTATGTTAGAGCAATACTTGTACCAAATTTTTTCTCTGAATGAATTCTATTGACATAAGATTGAAATTTTTGTGAAGATATCGACATTCTGACGGAAGTTATTAACAAAAAACCCATTTTCCGGGAATATGTACTTTTGTATGGGAGGTATATGAAATTGTGGACCGATTCTGGCAATTTTCAGCAGGAATCAAGCTCTTGCGTAGAAACGAATGTATAGTGATTTTCATGGAATTATCTTACATAGTTTTCGAGAAAATTACATCAGAATGTGCAAAAAATGCTTATTTTTTTCGAGGTTGTTTTAAATTTTGATTCATAACTTTTCTCGGTGTAAACCGATTTTGCTCATTTTCAATACCAAACAACTTAGGAAAATGAACATTTTGAGTGAATTTGGTCAAATTCTATTGCTTCGTTTTATCGTGTGCGTGTTTTACACAGACAGACGGACATACCTAAATCGACTCAGAATTCGATAAGAACCCAGAATATATATACTTTGTTGGGTCTCAGATGAATATTTCTTGGTGTTACACACGTTATGTATATATACCCTCTATCACCACTGATGGTGGTGGAGGGTATAATAAACTCATTTTCCTGGAATATGTACTTTTGTATGGGAGGTATATGAAATTGTGGACCGATTCCGCCAATTTTCAACAGGAATCAAGCTCTCGTGTACAAACGAATGTATGATGATTTTCATAGAATTATATTGCATATTTTTCGAGAAAATTACATCCGAATGTGTAAAAAATGCTTATTTTTTCCGAGTTGTTTTACATTTTGATTAATAACTTTTCCCGATGTGAATCGATTTTGCTAATTTTCAATACCAAACAACTTAGGAAAATTTAAACTTTGGGTGAATTTGGTTAAATTCTATTACTTCGTTTTATCGTGAGAGTGTTTTACACAGACAGACTTACAGACGGACATAGCTAGATCTACTCAGAATTTGATAAGGACCCAGAATATATATACTTTGTTGGGTCTCATATGAATATTTCTTGGTGTTACACGCGGAATGACAAAGTTATATATACCCTCTATCACCACTGATGGTGGTGGAGGTTATAAATAGGTAATTATTTAAAAATATTTCTTGAGCAAAATTGTTACACTTATACCCCCGTCGGTCCCACAGACCGAAAATCTCTGAAAAAGCATAGAAGAAATGTTTGCATGGTCTTTATAACTATATTAAAATGAAGCTTACATGAAATCTTGAAGCTATATATTAGCGTTGATATCTTGCCGTTTTAGTTTCAATAAAAAAATAACTAGTATTTTTTAAATGCAAATTATAATGTTTTCATTAAAAAACACGTACATAATATCAACAGGACGGGAGTGTAAAGAGGAATCTCAAAAACAATTTTAGTGTAGTGGCACAAAGTATACAGAGGTGTCAAATTTGACAATTCAACAAGTAAGAGTGATATATTCGGATGTGCCGAATCTTATATGCCCTTCACCATAGCGTATTAAAAAAATATCAATTTTATAAAATTTAAATTTATTTCATTTTCCCGACTATATCATTATTATAGCAATAGCAAAACAAAATGAACAACAACAACGCTAAACAAAATAAACACAAAAAACAAAATACACAAGGCAGTAAAACCAACAGACATCCAAACATAAGAACTGAATACACCAAGAAACAAAAACAATATACACAAGGCAATGAAACGCCAGACATCCAAACATACAAAACGAAATACTAAAAAAAAAACAAGTTAGAGTGCTATATTCGGCTGAGCAGAATCTTAAATACCCTCCACCAGCTATTTTTATATTAATACTTTTTTAATTGATCAAATATTTGTAGAAATAAGTTTTCTCATGTCTTAAATAGAAAAACCCCAAGATTTAAACAGCTTAAATCTGTTACAATTACAAGATTTATTGAACATTACAAACCCCATTTTCATTTATATTTTTATAGCGCCCTAAGATATGCTTTAACGATATTTAATAATGTGCATGTATGCATGTGTGTGAAAGATTTAAGGATTTTCAAAATACATATATATAATTTTGTTCTACACAAATTGATAATGCAATTAGTTAAATACGGTTAAATTGCTTTTAGGGGCAGGACTTAGTATGGGTGATATGACCAATTATAAACCGATCGTAAAAATTTTTTTAAGCAAAATTTCTGTACATAAAAACTATATTTCAGTCAAATTTTGTATCTATATCGTAATTTAGTAATAAGTAATGTGTGTTCAAGTGATTTTCTGAAGGGACCGATCCCGATCGTGAAAAAATCTTGAAATAGAATTTTTGTATACCAAACTAATATTTGTGCCAAATTTTGTATCAATAGCTTTATTTGGTAATGAGTTATGCGCGTTTAAGTGATTTTCAGGAGGGAACCTAGTATGAGAGATATGACCAAATATGGACCGATCGCAAAACTATTTTATAGTGTAATTTATGTATATAAGAGCAATATTTGTGCTAAATGTATGGATATCAATATTTTGTAATAAGTTATGTGCGTTAAAGTATGGGAGCTATGACCAATTATGGACCGATCGGAAAAAATTTCATAGTAATATTTCCATGTGCATATGAGCAATACTTGTACCAAATTTTATATGGATATCTTAATTTAGTAATGAGTTATGCGCATTTAAGTGATTTTCAGGAAGGGTCCTTGTTCATATTCATTCATATTCCAAATTTTATATGGATATCTTAATTTAGTAATGAGTTATGCGCGTTTAAGTGATTTTCGGGAGGGGACCTTGTATGGGAGCTATGTCCAATTATAGAGCGATCCAGAAAAATTTTTCTCTCAATGAATTCTATTGACATAAGATTTTAAGTTGTAAAATTTTGTAAAGATATCAACATTCTGACGGAAGTTATTATCGAAAAACTCATTTTCCGGGAATTATATTGCTTCGTTTTAACGTGAGCGTGTTTTACACAGACGGACGGACATAGCTAAATCGACTCAGAATTTGTTAAGAACCCAGAATATATATACTTTGTGGGTCTCAGATGAATATTTCTTGGTGTTACACACAAAATGATCAACTTATATATACCTTCTACCTCTCTATATATATATGGGGCATTTCACGTCAAGTGAACCAACTTTTGAAATCGATGTCTTCCGATCGCGATGAAATTTGCACCATAGTTAGTTCTATTGGATAGTAATTCAGACACAATTTTTCAATAAGATCGCTCGTGAACTTTCTAAGTTAGAGGCGGTCAAAATTTGACATTTTGGCCATGCAGGTGTTTTTTCTCATCCATGTAACTTATTACCTATTGTTCTTAGCAAAATGTGTCCCCAATAGTTTAGATAGCTATTTATGCAATCTTTCGAAAAAAAAAAAGTTAAAGAAATTTAATAAAATATTTTTGATTTTTTTTTTTTAAATTAAAAACATTTTTGACTTTTTTTTTTCAAAATGGGCCCTTTTTATTTTTTTTTTTTTTATTTTTTTTTAGAAAGCTTAAGTCTTTTCCTAAGCGACCTATATGGTCGCTTAGTGGGATGAGAGTGGGATATCTATCAAAAAAAATATTTTGTAACTCAAGATTTAAAATTTTTTTGCAAAATCAAAAACTTTGTTGACTTTTTTTAAAAAAATGGACCCATTTTTTATTTTTTTTGCTCAGAAGAAAGCTTATGTGTTTTCCTTTAACACCCTTTTTGTCGCTTAGTGGGATGCGAGTGGGATATCTATAAAAAAAATGTTTTGTAACTCAAGACATACAATTTTTTACTTTTCTTTTGAAAAATCAAAAACTTTTTTGACTTTTTTTCCAAAATGGACTCTTTTTTTATTATTTTTTTCTTCTCAAAAGAAAGCTTAGGTCTTTTCCTTTAAAACCTTTTTGGTCGCTTAGTGGGATGCGAGTGGGATATCTATCAAAATAAATGTTTTGTAACTCAAGACAAATGTTTTTAAATTGATTTTTTTCATATTTGTGTGTAAGTGTTTCTAAAACCTTAAAAATAAAAACCACAACAACTGACCGATAATAGCCACTGGAGGGGTGCAATATGAGGCCGACCGCTATTAATTTTCCACCCCCAAAATTTGTCTGAGTTTTGTATCTTGCGGCTTTTTTAGTCAATCCTAGAGGTAGTTTTCAGCGCACGTGATTTTCATTGTTAAAATATCAGGTGCTGAATCTAATAACGCCAAGAAAGGATTGACAAAAAAAAAGCAGCTAATAAAGGTGACAAATAAGGAGGATAAAAGTATGGATATTTGAAAATTTAAAAACTTCATAAATTAAGTGTAAAAATAGTTATTATATAAATTGATCTATTGTGATTAAGATTAAATTTTACTAAATTATTCATCTTTTTATTATTATTATTATTATTATTATTATTATTATTATTATTATTATTATTATTATTATTATTATTATTATTATTATATATTAAATTAATTATTATTACAAATAAATAACAAAATTAAATTATTCAACATTTCCATAGAAAAAAAGTGATTTTTATTCCTGAGGTTAACATATTATGGGTATTACAGTATCGAGGCTATGAAATTTTAGTTGGGTATGTTACATACCATCGGAAAGGCTAATGTGTCTAGTTTCTTGATTTTGCAAAAAAATTCAAAAATATTAAATCTTGAGTTACAAAATATTTTTTTTATAGATATCCCACTCGCATCCCACTAAGCGACCAAAAAGGTTTTAAAGGAAAAGAAAAGACCTAAGCTTTCTTTTGAGAAAAAAAAAAAAATAATAAAAAAAGAGTCCATTTTGGAAAAAAAGTTAAAAAAGTTTTTGATTTTTCAAAAAAAAGTAAAAAATTGTATGTCTTGAGTTACAAAACATTTTTTTTATAGATATCCCACTCGCATCCCACTAAGCGACAAAAAGGGTGTTAAAGGGAAACACATAAGCTTTCTTCTGAGCAAAAAAAAATAAAAAATGGGTCCATTTTTTTAAAAAAAAGGCAACAAAGTTTTTGATTTTGCAAAAAAATTCAAAAATTTTAAATCTTGAGTTACAAAATATTTTTTTTGATAGATATCCCACTCGCATCCCACTAAGCGACCATATAGGTCGCTTAAGCTTTCAAAAAAAAAAATAAAAAAAAAAATAAAAAGGGCCCATTTTGAAAAAAAAAGTCAAAAATGTTTTTGATTAAAAAAAAAAAAAAATCAAAAATATTTTATTAAATTTTTTTAATTTTTTTTCGAAAGATTGCATAAATAGCTATCTAAACTATTTGGGACACATTTTGCTAAGAACAATAGGTAATAAGTTACATGGATGAGAAAAAACACCTGCATGGCCAAAATGTCAAATTTTGACCGCCTCTAACTTAGAAAGTTCACGAGCGATCTTGTTGAAAAATTGTGTCTGAATTACTATCCAATAGAACTAACTATGGTGCAAATTTCATCGCGATCGGAAGACATCGATTTCAAAAGTTGGTTCACTTGACGTGAAATGCCCCATATATATATATATATATATATATATATATATATATATATATATATATATATATATATATATATATATATATATATATATATATATATATATATATATATATATATGTGGGGGTTATGGGAAATTTTGAATCGATTGTTACAATTTTAAACATAATTAATCTATAGATGGAAAAAATAATCTGTGAAAAAATATGTCGAATTATCTTTAGTAGTTTCTGAAAAGTACTCAAGAATTAGGGAAAAAAAACTTATTTTTTTTAGGTAGTCTGAAATTTTTACTCATAACTTTTTACGTTGTGAACCGATTTTGCTGATTTTCAATACCAAACTGCTTAGGAAAACAATGAATATTCTCAGTGAATTGGTTGATTTCATTTGCTTAGTTTTAACGTGAGCGTATTTTAACCAGACAGACAGACAGATGGACATAGCTAATCAGAACTTCATAAGGACCCAGAATATATATACTTTGTTGGGTCTCAGATAAATATTTTTTGGTGTTACACACGGAATGACAAACTTATAAATTCACAATGCTATGAATAAGCAGTGTTGTTGTTGCTTATTTATCAAAGCATGAAAAATTGTTTTTTTTATGAAATTTTCAGAGGTTGTCTCGGATTATTAGTTGTTTATGGACGGATTTTACTGATTTTAAATAGGAAACTTCTCGTAAGTAAGTCTGATAGAATTATTGAAGATTTGGATCCCGAAGATATCTAGGGTCTTCAGAAAACTGATTTGAAGAGACAGACAGACGGACACGGCTAAATCGACTCCACTATCTATAAAGATTCAGAATATATATATTTTATTTTAATACATACATATATGGTTTATATACAAAAATGATTATAATTTTTTCATATTAACGCATTAGTATTAAACAAATATAGTTCATAGGTAAAAAATCATTTAATTTCACTAGAATTAAATTAGGAAATTAAACAACAATTTTTATTATAATATTAAAAGATTGATATGTAGAAGAATTTCATGTAGGAATACCACTCAATCGATGCGTAGTAATGTACTACACACGAGAAAATAAAAAATATTTTTTTGGAATAGTCCTTAGTTCCCGTACCAGCGATTGAAAATCCTACCTTAATGTAATTTTTGAAAAATAAAAAATTTTCGATATTTTCGAAATGGAACTCAAAAATTCCTAATTTTGAGCTGATTACGGCAAAAATAATTTTAAAGTCCTTGTAATATTTTTGGTCCAAAATATGATTCTTAGTGGGTGGGAGAGGCATATTATTATCGCTTTTTATCGAAATGAGTGTCAAAATTCTTGTAATTTTTAGGTTTAGTATATTTCAGAATTTTTTTGAATTTTTTTAAATTTATATGCCCCTTATAATACAAAAAAAGTCGTTTTGCGGACCAGAAATACACTAAAAAAAATTTTATTATTTTTCCCGCGATAAGCTCAAAATCCCGGAATTTTTGACACCCAATTCGAAAAGATCGCAGAATTTTTTTTAACATATTGTACTGAGATCACGATTTTCAATCGCTGGTAGGGAACTGAGGATCTTTTCAAAAAACATTGTATTTTAATTTTTTCGTATTAAGTACATTGCAACGCATCGTTTTAGAGGTATTCTTCCTAAAATATGGTCCATGGGACACGTATATGCGTATATATATGTACAAGTAGCATAAGAAACTTATTTCCGTAGATTTATTTCCAAGTAGCATAAGAAACTTATTCCCATAGATTTAATTGCTGATTTTTGCTTTTATTTGTTTCCCAGACGTAATGAAATACTTTTTGTAATTTGACAATAATTTTTATGTTTAAATTTTGCTTATAATTTTTATAGTTTAAATTTTGCTTACGTTGTAATTTTGTTTACTTTAATTGTATCTAGCTTTAAGAATTTTATGAAAAATAAAATTAGATTAGACAAACCACCAAATAAACAGGTGTTTTTTTTTCGTATTAGGGAATGTTAATCTCAAATACGTTACTGGCGCAGTCGGCTAAAAGAACCGTCGTGTTAAGTTTTATTTAAGTTTAGTAATAAAATAAAAAAATATAATAAAATTTTTTTAAATAAACCGTGAAATTTTTGAAGGAATAACTCGTGAAAAACATAATTAAATTAAATAAAATAATTTTGAAAATTTATAAGTAAATGAACACTTAATTTAAACCAAAGATTATATAACATCGAACTTACGAAACTTACGAACTTGAAATAAATTTAATAAAATAATTAAAATTTTAAAAGTGAACAATATAATATTGAATTTATGAACGAAGTTGAAGATTTGGCAGAAAGATTGGAAAATATCAATATATCAATCAACATGGAAGCAATAAAGGAAAGGAGAGATGTTTTTCTACAAAATGTTAAACTGTTGCAACCGTTTGATGGGAACAAGAGCTATTCGGCACTATTTGTAGACAGTGTTTCCGCAATGATACCAAATCCTGAGGAAAGGAGATTCTACTTCAATTGCATAAAAACTACTCTAAGGGGATCCGCTTTGGACGTATTAAGAAGATAACAACCAACGGATTGGATCACTTTAAAACAGCTACTAATAGAATAATTTGTTGAGCGAACGCCTGTTACAAGGCTTATATTAGAAATAAGTAATATTAAATTTAATAAAAATATTAAAGAATTTTGCGATAAGTTGAACAGTGAGGTTTGTAAGATTAAAGATGAAATTAGATTAAAACAAGTAAGAAAGTATAGTCGGGCGTGGCCGACCATATGATACCCTACACCAGTTATGAATATTAAATGTGATTTATTATACCCTACACACTATAGTGGGGAGGGTATTATACATTTGTGCTGATGTTTGTAACACACAAAAATATTGGTCCTACACCTTTTAAGTATACCTATCGACTCAGAATCACATTTTGAGTCGATTAAGACATGTCCGTCCGTCCGGCTGGCTGTCCATGTAAACCTTGTGCGCAAGGTACAGGCCGCAATTTTCAAGATAATTTTTCATAATAAAGTATTTATCTTCAATACAACCTTG